CCTGTACCTTATTTAGCCTTTTCAAACAATTTATTTATATCAAATGGCAGGCGATTTGATGGTTATCATTAGCCCTTTAGTTGACTTCGGGCTTCACAGGGGGAAGGAACATCAGGGTAACAGAAAGTCGAGAGGTGTGGCACAGAAGAGTGATTCACAGATGTAAAATAGACAGACAGACACAAAGGTAGAGAAGAGGTGAGATGAGTACTGTGGAAGTTGTGGAATATGACATAGAGTGGGGTGTTCTGGTAGTTTGAAGTGAGAAGTCAACTGCCGGTTAATAGACTTTTTTGCCGTATGAGTATACGTTGCCCAGGGTGCACCACGTGGAGGTAAGTCTATTACACACACCCCTTTTCAAACAATATTCCATACAATCATCTGCGTTTATTAAGCACAACTCCCCCTGCCTAATTCTGTATTCCGTATCTTGGAAAATTTTTGCCAATTTTAAGAAAATTATGGTTGCAAGAGGATAGATCTAAAACTAACGCTTTGAATAGTGGGTTAGCGCGAATTTACCTCCACCATTAAAAGTTCAAAGAAAAAGGGGCGAGAACTGCATTTCAAAAACTGCCTGGGTCTATTGGCGATTCTTAAGCTATTACAAAAATGTGGGGTTTTAAATTAAAATAATTAACCGAATACTTCATAACTTTTATTGGGTAGAAATGCATGAATTTTCAACGATGCGGCAGCACCCACCATCTCGCCTAGCCGTAACCCTGACCAATCAGCCCCTTGTGTTAGTTGAAGCGATTTTTGCTTCCTGTAGTTCCTTTGGATGGTTGCTCGAGTTACCAACTGGGCCAGCTTTCAACTTTAAATGTTAAAATTGGAATGTTACCAACTACCCAGTTGAATATTCCTAAAATCACAACATAGTAAAAGCATAACTAAAAGCACGTTGCCATGACGCCGCCATGGCTCTATTTGTTGTTTTCTTATTTGCATCCATTTTTAACTTCATTCACATACCTACAACCTGAAGCCATTTATCTGCTTAACTTTCTATTATGTGCAACATTGATGACTAGATAATAAAAGCTTGTTTTCACCCGTTTCTTTAAAAAAGTTTATTTTTTATTTCTCTTCCTAATAAGATAAAAGCCAACAGCACTTTCCATTACAAAAATTAAGACCAAAATATTGTATCTCAAATCAAATTCACGGCCAACAGCTGATTCAAGAAAAAGGTAAAGAGAGCATTCAAAACAAAGAAGCACATTTACAGAAAATTAAAATAAAACCAGAGAACACGTATCGAATGAGACTGTGCAGCACAATGGGGGTAGAATGAAAGACAATAGGGAATGTAACGAAGGGGCAATTGAAGTTGCTTGCCTATTGTAGGAGACAGTTCGCGAGAAGTAAATGAAGGATACACATGTAAAGTATTAAAACAATGAATACGACCACACGTGGACCTCGTGAGCCAATTATTCGATAGTCAATCCTTTTGAGCACACGATTGCCAGCAGCTCGACATACTGAGCCTATATAAAATATTAATTACAAGATTATGCTACTAACGATTTATAAGTAGAAACGATTGCTAAATTTCATTTACTTAATACATAAACGGTGGGTTGGTTCAGAATTTGCTTCGGTATTTTGGAAATGGAGGCGAACACCTGCTGGCATTTTGAATATGTCTGGCGTATGATTATTCGTTGAGGAGAGGAATTTACAGGACCATGATCACTATAAATGAAAAAGGAGAATTTTTAATCAACAGAGGTAAATTGTAACACTAAACTCTAGCATTTCAGTAACAGCGCAAAACTTTTTTACTTTAGTAAAACAACACCTTTATTGAGAGCTTCCAGAAGGCAAATCATTGTATTGCAATTTCGTAAAACTATGGAATTCTTGCTCAGTGAACTCATCTGGGGAAAAAACTTGTGACCCAAGTTCAGTAAAGGGTACCAAAGTACAATTTAAGCACCTTACTGAGTTTTGCTTGTTATAATTGTTAATCATCTGAGTTTTTGTGGGCATAAGTCATACAAGATCGGTCGATAAGGACTAGATGTTGAGGATAAGAGTTCCCTCAATAATTCAGGTGGTAAATCGCGAAAATTTGAATTTTACAAAGCAAGTTACCCATCGGGGAATATTCAACAGCTCTACTACACCGAAGACCAAATGAAGACTAGGATTTCTGGTTCCAAAATGGCATGATCCCCCCCCGCCCCTCCTCCCCCCTTATAATTTGACAGACTTTCTGTTCACGATTTCATTTGCTGAAAAATTTTGGGATTTCTTGCCACCCCTTGGGATAAAACTAGAAGGGGTTTCCTACTTCTGGCTGGGATGTCCACACTCTTAAGTTCTTTATCGTAAAAGTTGGGATGCCAAAATCCCCAAATTGGTAGCAGAATTTCGCAGAAACTAAATTGTGCGTCTATTTAAGAGAAGAGATCAGAAGATTTCGAGTGATTGACTATCTGCAATATGTGATAAAAATGGTCATATCTTTATGAAAAGTAACTTCCTTCTAATAAACATATTCAATTCCGAATTGACTAAAAAAGGGGTGACAAAGAAATGCATAAAAAAAACCGAATCGGATGAGGATCTAATATTGGAATCCTCCTTCCCTCACTTTCAACTTTAAGTGTCAAGTTATACGTACTACTGCCTAAATCAAACAAATAAATGTCACCACCCGATACCGAGGGTTTTGTGTGCTCCAAAATGTGTCCCCCCCCCTCCCCTACTCCCAAGAATTTTGATGGCTCATTTTCATCCCTCTTCACCACTTCTTTAGCAGTCGCGTCTCACTCCTTTCTCCTCACATTCCCAAAGAAACCAAACTTATATGCCCATAGCCTAGTCATAATAAAAGTTCTCTCGCAAATTGATTATCCAACTACCAATGGGGATTCAGGATCAAGTATTAGCTACATAAAGTTTAATCTTTACAAGACATACCTATCTTCAAATCGTAAAACACAGCTTTGAGGCTTCTGGTAATCTGATAATCTACTTTGTAATCGCTGCAAATCCTGGATTCTTTCATTGAGGTCGGATTCTAGCTGGAGAATCTACAATTAAAAAAACAAGGCTAGAGGAGGCTAACGCACTGCTTAAACCGATTGAGGAAGAGAGTGAAGCCCAACTGACCCGATCGTTTGATGAATCTAACCGGGCTTTCAAGTGAGCTTTTTCTATTGTAGCACTGGTCAGTCGTTCTCTAAGCTGAAGGAATTCGTCATTACTGGATCTCAATTGATCCGCTGAGGATTGAGCCTCTGCTTCTAGCTTTTTCAGCCTTTCCAATAACCGGGGAACATCAGGAGTCTTCGACATTTCATTCTCAGTTGTGCCTGCGTTTTTATCGGGCATAATTATTGACGTTTGAGGAGGCGTTTTCACGGTTAATTTTTGTGGGGCAGTCCGAAGGCATTCACCTAGCTGTTGCTCAAGATACTCAGTCGTGAGATCATTTATTCTACCTCGGGATTCAAGAAGTTCGAAAAGGCTTCTACCATCACTTTCCTCTTCCGCCGCATTAGGCCTTGAGTTTTCAGGTATTTCAGGCGGAAATTCAGTTTGAATTTCCACTTCCGAAGCACTGTTTCTAGAGGATTTTTTCTCTTGAAGTATGTCTACTAGTTGTTGAAGACGTTTACAGCTTACACAGGAATTTTTGGAGGGCAGTGTATTGGAATTTACTGACGTAGTGACGGTAGAAGATCTTGAAAGTTGGAGACGTAGGGAACGATTTTCAGCAGCCGCGTCCGCTAACTGAACGGAGAAATTTGCGGATTCCTGTTCGAATGCTCGACGATGTCGTGCGAGCTCACCTTCCAAACGTTCTATGGCTATTTTGAGGGCGGAAATCTCTAGATTACGCTTCTCGCATTGTAAACAATTGCCCTTTTCACCTATGAAAATAAAAAATAAAGGATTCGCGATAAATAAACTAAAAAAACGAGAAAGAACACTTGGCATTTACTTATCGAAGATTAGTATGAGACTAAAAGATACATGGAGGAAGAGGGGGGGGGATTAGATTGTTACTTCCTACTGCTAGCAGGGGTGCAAAATAGTATTAGGCTGTCAATTGTAGATTTAGGCGGATCTATAAAAACGCATAAGTATAACTGAACTATGTTTCATTGAAGGATACCACAATGTCCAACTAACAAGCGATCTCTACCAATGGACACTTGATGGCTATAAAAATCATTTAGAGTTGAAAGCTGGTAAGATTTGGGCGCTTAAACTTGTTATAAAAGCTTTATAAACAGAAAACTTAGCATGAGGAGTTTTGCTAACACTTCCTCTATGATTTAGAATTGGACAATATTTTGCTTTATATCCCGGGAACCAAACTCCTGACAAAACAAATGATTGGAACAGTCGCAGATTGTATGGAAGATGTTCTGTTTGAAATACTCCGCTTTAAAACTCCGCATTTTATGACAACGAACTAATACGACAAGAGTGGCTGCATCGACTAAATTTACAATTTAAAAATGCTACCTTATCACTAACCAACTCTACATCCATAGCACCATAATTAGCCAGCCAACTAACGTTCGAGATTGCTAGCAATATGGAACTCAAATATTAATTTATATCAAATGGCAGGCGTTTTGATAGTTATCATTAGCCCTTTAATTGACTTCGGGCTTCACAGAGGGGAGGAGAAACATTAAAGTGAAAAAAGTCGAGAGGGGGGGGGGAATAGAAGAGTGTTTCAAAGATTTAAAAGAGACAGACACAAAGGTAGAAAAAAATTAAGGTGAGTATTGTGGAAGTAGTCGAATATGACATACAGTGGGGTGATGCTTGTTTGAAATGAGAAGTCAACTGCCTGTTAATAGACTTTTTTGCCGTATGAGTATACGTTGCCCAGGGTGCACCACGTGGAGGTAAGTCTATTGCACACCCCAGATTAGGAAATATATAAATTTACTTTCGTTCTGCTAACGCAACGCGGAGGGTAGTGGTCGTCCCCCTCGTCTTATCTCCTATTGTTATTGGTCCTTAGTAGCATATTTCATTTAACTTACTGATTTCATATCCCTATAAAATAATAATTTACGCCATCTACAAGACGTCTCTTAGATCACGCCAAAGCAATGCGGAGGAAAATTTAAAATACAGAAAAAGAATGTTTCCAATTCGTTAAATGCTGAAACTGCTTAATTTATAGCAAAAAAACTAGCAATCGTTTAAAAGGTAGAATAAAGCAAGACTTGAATATCAGGGAGAAGGGAGGGTGGGTAGGTGGGGGGAGGGAGGGAGGGAGTAGATGAATACGTCATTGATTTCAGAAAGGCCCAAACTCTACTAGGTTAACAAAACAAGTAAGCTAAATTAGTAAAAAAGAGACCAACCTGATGTGTCCCTGTTTATATAAAGCTAAAATTGTTGAAGCCATGAGAGAAATTTAAAGAGAGAATCCCTATGGGCAGAGATTTTCTCATTACTATTTATGCTGGAAGGAAGTGTACTTTAGTAATATCGGACGGGAGGCAAACAGATTATAGTGGCAAAAATTAGAACTCTAGTGATACACAGCTTTGCAGTAAGCGGGCAAGATTATACCAACGAGAATGTAGCTTTATGAAGCACAACAAATCAAAACACTGGAATAAGTCTTGAGGGACCATGAAACTCACCCTGGTCTGAGTGGTGATTGTTGCTGCGTTTCGGAGAGCTCTGAGCAACCACTGCAAGAGCCTCAGCCAGTTGCTGGCGTAGTTCTTTCTCTTCAACAAGCAGTCGTCGCTTTTCAGCCTCCCATCGGGTCCTGTGATGGCGCAAATTGTCTACAGAGGCATCCAACTCGGCATTGAGGGACTCTGCGCGTCTTTGGAGTTGAAGGTACCGGGAGATTTGACTATGACGTAGTTCCTGCAAGCGGGAGTTTCGAGCCAACACGGTTGAGAGGGCTTCTTTTAATTCGGCGTAGGATACAGAAGAGGTGGAATTTGCGACCATGATTGATTCCGGTCGAGTAAGGAGCTCTTTTGCTCTCTGAAAGGCGAAAAAAGACCTTTGGGACTGGTGCACCATTTCCTCTATCTTCTACTCTTTAGGATATTCATTGAATTAGTGCATGTTCAAATTTACCCTACCCTGCTTGTGTCAATTCCTATGCATTGAAGTTTATTTCTAATTTGACAAAATTAATTGAGCCTTCAATTCCCTTCCCATTAAAACCTATTTTCAAGACACTATCTAGGACTCGATGATCACCAAGTATAAGGCCACAGTCTGTCTCCTTCATAACTTATAAGCCCTAATAAGGTTCTTCTAAATAGAGTTTAAATTAGTAGATATAACAGCTGTTTAACAGTGATGATGGCATTGCATAAAAATACAGAAACAATTTTCCATAAAAGCGACGTAAATAAATATACAAATAACAACATGCTACTAATTTAGTGATTTATCATAAAATCATAAGAATATTTAACTCAAAGAGATTCAATGCTCAAACAGGATACTTCCTACAGTGAGGTAATTATGAAGCAATAATAGGGGAAAAATCACATTTTTGAGATCTGATTCAGTTATTTTCCCAACAAATATTGATTCCTCATTCTCAGAAAAAGGAAACCAATCTCGGCTCGATTAAACCTAGCGTTAATTGCTAACTTAATTTTTAATAAGGCTAATTTCAGTAAATCTCTTTTTAGTCCATAGGGAAACAGAAAACACTTACCCCCTCCCCCCCATTTAATAAAATTAAAAAGATAAAAGAGATTAAATGAAAGGCAAAATGAGTGTGGTTCAATAATATTGATTAGGTAGAATTGAAGCATTAATACAAGTACACTGGTTAAATAATCTACTTAGAGGTATGATAACATTTTCCCCCTCTTGGACAGGGCTTTCGAGAACCAATTGACAACCTCCGCAGTAAGAAAATGAACAGATGGGTGGTAACGCAAAAAATACCATAGGAGAGAGAATTGCATATATATATATATATATATCAAAGAGTATTATTCAAAATAACCGCAACTAGAGTCTAGTGCAGACTTCATTCAGCCCGTAACCTGGAACAAGTCAACTTCGCACCTTCCCAAAGAGGCGTCTCAAACACTGCATTCATTCAGCCAATCGACTGGTTGGCTTTTACATTATTGACACATGATTAGTACCTTTCAGCGAATGACCAAACACACACGCAATAGTTCAACAGGTTAAAATCTAGAGGAGGGGGGAGGGGGGGGGGGGGGGGGGGGGGGGAGATATCCAAACATTGCTACTGGTGTGAAGTTGAAAATGAACGGACAAACACTTTCGATTTTTCCTTGAGGCCTTTCAAGGGGACCGGCGAATCCTACTACCGTCTTATATAGGACCCATTATTGCCTACCATCATTCGTTATAGAGGGCTTTGCAATAACAATGGTCAGCAATTCCACGTAGGTCCCTGAATACAAACAATGCCCCTATCACAACAATCCGAATCGATGCACCAAAGGCTTTGGTCAAAGGAAAGGAACCAGATCATTTGTGTTTCAGAAAGATGTTTCACTTTGCTGTGAAACTTCGTAGTGAGAAGTTTGCCTCTGTGAGGCTTACAATAAGAGAAGGACTTCATTGGATGGAAGTTTCATAGTGTGAGACTGAGGCATTCAATTAACAATGACAAGCAAATATTATTCTGTAAAATTTGACCCGAACACAACCAGGACATTGGAGCTAAAACTACTGCATCGATAAAAGTACACATTTTGGAATGTGATAGGGAGAGGCAATGAAACAAGCACTTATAGCTTCGGCATGCTTTTCTCCCTCAAATAGGGAGAACAAGACGAAACACAAAAACACCAGTAATTAAGATGAAAACATTTCCAACTCAAGAGAATTTTAAACTTAACTACCAACGCTGTCATCGAGAGAAACCTGCAAGTTTCGTCTTTTGCCCCCCCCCCCTTGATTATCGAAGATTTCGATGGATTACACCCCTCCCCCCCCCCATTTAAACCTGAATATGTAAGACCACCTGTGGGGAAAAGCCTCCGCTGAAATTATTGGCTATCCAGGTAGTTGATAATCAATCACATCTTCAAGTCCGCATATGCAAAACTATTTAAGTAGAAAACAAGCCGTCGTTTAAATTTCCTACCTCTTGGCTGGTGCTTGAGTAGTAGCAGCTTTAATAAAATATAACAATGAGTTAAACAAGAGAAATTAACTGCAATAAGCATTTTCAATCACGTTTAACTCATTTGAGTCAATGTTCAAAAGGCACCAATCGGATATTAGGGCTGCATTTTATTTTTATTTACTTGACGCGGTTTGACTCCAGCTGAAAATCAACTACAGTTATAGTTTCTGTATTTATTTCTAAAAAAAGTGCTGAAAATTTTGATTATATAGAAAGATAGCGAAGCGGTGATTTGAATTTCTAATTAAGGTGTCTGGTAATAAACACACGATCGGCACATTGGAACGGCTTAGAAATGAAATATCTCTAGATTCTCAACCCTAAACTATTATAAAGAAACTGGAATATAAGTCTACGAAAATTATGAGAATCCTACTTTAAAACCTCTCAATCCAAATCTAAAATATACTGACAACAAAATATGACCTACAGCCAAAGTCAATTCAGGGTGGAGGTTAAATATCAGAACCCAATTAAGGTAATTAGTATTAGCTCAAATATCCGCAAGTTAGCATGCACCTCCTAAGGCGCGTTCCACCCTAAGCACTTCCAATCCACCCTCCCATGCATCAATGATTAGATAGGAGCATACTATGCTAAGGCCAAAGTAGGATAAAATGGCACTAATAGCTAAATAGGACAGCTAAAAAAACAGATAGATGAAGCAAAAAGGAATGAGGAAATAGCTATTTTCTTTTGAATGACCACAAACCCCACTCCCCCCATGCCTTGGATGGAGTGCGTGATAAGAGTTATAGCCCCAGTTGTCACATGCCGATTTGAATGTGTCTTGTGGAGCATTCATTAACCGCCAATTTGCTTTGCATGCTTAGGAAAAATGTCGAAATTGAACCGATTTCACAGGAAATAGTTTATTTACCTTTAAAAATAAGCGAATCATGCATAAACGGTAAACTTTGAATACACTATTACCCATGTATCAACAGCAAGCTGTTCAAAATGAGCAAATCATAAGGTGTGAGGATACCCACATGGAAAATTTTGAACACGCATTTTCAAACAAATACTACTTATCGCCCCACGCCCGAGATTTCATAGGCCAGTTTATAATCGTATCAAAAAGGCCCACAAAAATGACTGATATGTAATGCCAACTCAGTGGGTCAAAAATTAGTAAAGTGTAAAGCACACTTAAAATTTACCACATTGGAGAGAAGTAGGGGTGATTGGAATTTTTAGTCATTGCCTCGTACTTTTTTATTCATAAAGTGTCAAATGCAACCCAATATACATAGACCTACATGCTTTGCAATCACATCAAATGGTGGTTGCAAGCCTTAAAATAGAAGGTGGCCAAAAAAAGGTGATCAATAGACACATTTTTGAATAGTTATGAACATAGTGTTACATTGGAGTTCAGGCTTCTATAAGATGGCATACTTCGAAGCACAACCTCCTTTCTAGTAGGGAGCAAATGTTAAACAGACATTGAAAGCAGGATTGAGAAAATGTGGATGAAAACCAGCACCTATTGCAGCAACTGTCAGCAACATTTTTGGTTCTCAAAATTAGCCATGAAATGCTCTTAATAATCAAACCCGCAAAAACGGGGAGACACATTTCAACTATTAGATAGTCAAATCTAAACCCAATAAACACATTATTTTATGATTAAAATGAGGGGTGTGCGATAGACTTACCTCCACGTGGTGCACCCTGGGCAACGTATACTCATACGGCAAAAAAGTCTATTGATCGGCAGTTAACTTCTGACTTCAAACTACCATGACCCCACTGTATGCCATATTCGACTACTTCCACAGTACTCAACTCACCTTTTTCTACCTTCGTCTTTGAAGCACTCTTCTGTTCCCCCCCCCCTCTCGAATTTTTTTCCACTTTGATGTTCCTTCTCCTCTGTGAAGCCTGAAGTCAACTAAAGGGCTAATGATAACTATCAGAACGCCTGCCATTTGATATAAATAAATATATTAATAATATGCTTTTATAATTGATGATAAATTGAATATAAATAGGGAGAGGCGCACCCACTCGCACACGCGCGCGTTTTCTGCGCAATTTAGAAGTACCAACGTAGGCATCGTCAATAAACCCATCAAATCTCAAAAAATTATACTTCGATCATTACAATCGCGGGATTTCTAAAATCCATTAGACCCTACTACTACCCAAATTTCAGCTATTTTGGCACTGAGACAATGAACTGGAAGAAAATTTGGCCAAACTCTACAAAAGATCAATAATCCATTTCGCTCTCTCCTATCCACCAATGATTAGCGATCAAGATTTCGTGGAGATTATGAAGTATAAGAGGCTAGAATATTAAATCTTTCATAGGAAACATTCAGTGGTACTGTCTGCTAATAAAGTGGACTATATCTGTTTAAAGTTGATCTAATTGGAATATAATTAACCAACTCGAACGAAGTTAACGGGCTTCATCCCTCAATAATCAGATTATTGATTAATGACTGTCCTTGCCATTACTTGGGAATGCAATCTCGTCAATAAGCGAATCATTGACTAAATGGGCAACCCATCGTTCCCAGGGGCAGCTTAGTTGTAGCAGTGGCGACCCAGAGTTGTAGTGAACTAGTAAAAGAATAAGTTTGAAAATGATATTTACCTGCTCATAATTGGAAGACAAAAACGAACTATAAAGAGACATGATCAGACATTACACCTGTTGAATAACTATTCTAACAGACTTCGAATAGCGCGAGCATTACGCAACTGAGAAAGACGAGTATCATAAATCATAATAGTTGAACTATTCCATAACCCATTTCATACCTCTGTGGGTTAACCTTGATAGGCCGTATATTGCAATGGACAATGGGATCAATAAACACTCAATGCTGAGGTTTATAAGAGCAAGAAGAAATAAATATAATTATATATAGTTAGAGCAGTAAACGTGATGGACATATTTAATAGCTCCCCAAAAAGACACGGCGAATTCTTTCAGCAAAAAAAATGACTACTGACAATTTTGCACACCGCTGGAAAAATGTGTTTTCTTTTGTTCCGCAATGCAAAAGAAACAGCCTGCTATTAGAATGCGCAAAGGCACCAAGTGAGAGAACGTGATCAAACATGTAGGGTAACGATGGAAGGCACCTAAACGTGTCTGTTAGCTTTTATTGCAACTACTGCGGAAAATTTCAATCACGAAAACTGCATTATAGGCATAACATTTCATGAATCATCAAATAATTATAATGGGAACATAAGAGGATGAATGTTACAAAAGCCGGTCTTCCGCTCAATTTGTTCAACTAGCCAACCAGCTATGAATGCTGATTTTTAAAGTGAAATATAATACGAAAAAAGAGAGAACTACAGTCAGTAAGTAAGAGCAAACACCTTGACGAAACAAGAATTCGCAAGAAATATTTGACGCTCAGACGTTATTCCTTATATTTACTCAACCTTTGCTACACCCTTCGTTTCTTATTGAACTATTTCAATGCTCAATGTCTTTTGGTGTTTCCACAATAAAGTAAGAGAGATATTAATAATAACCCACAGCAGGGTTGAAAAGAAATAAATACTTTGAATATTATAAGCAGCTTAAACAAATGTGCAATGCGAAAGTAGACTATAGATGACTTAAGGTAATAGCGGAATTTTCCTAGCGCTCTGGTTTTATGGAACCTAACATGATCTTTGAGCAGCTAATCAACGATCAAATGCTGAAGTTTGAATCAAGGAACAATAATGTCCTACCAGAGTCATCAGTATGGAATCGCATTAAACCACCTTCGAAATAGGCAACAGAAGGCATATCCTCCGCGGTTTTAAGGGTATTTACGCGTAGTTCTTAATACGCTACAATTAGGACATGATACGAAGAACTATACTCTTTAAGCAAAACACGAAAATCCAAGAATCAAATAACCTAAGACACTTTTCATGAACCTACTTGTGCTTGAACTTCCATTTTTTCAAAAACTGGCGACGATAGTCGATTGATAGGAGTTAAATGAAGGAAAATAGACTTCTGGACTACCATATTCAACCGCCATAAGTACATGAACGGATGTACATCATGATCGAAATTTAAAACCCTAGTTTCCGTACATATACTAAACGATTCATGCCAATTAAAAAATTGTTCAAGGAAAACAATTTACTTCCAAAAATGCTTCTCGAGATAGTTTTGTTCCATTTGACATTATATCTAAAGGATCGTTCTGAGCCTCCATCTCTTCATCTTCCTCGTTCACCTCCAGTAGAGCCATTCGAAGGGGTTCCGGTTTCACAATGACAGCAGCGGAGGTGTTAGCACAAGTCACCGACGGGGGTGACTGGTGAGTAGGAGGGGCGGGAGTGTGGCGACGTTTGGAATGGCCTTGAAGGGCAGTCAGTTCAGTGTGGAAACGACGGGCGGCATAAGCAGTGGCCTCAGCAACAAGAGTGGCTTCATTTTTTTCAAGGCCGTTCGTGAGTGCGTAGCGTGGGAATTTCTTGCGAGGCATGCCAAAAGTGCTGTCTTTATGGTTTAATTTAGGTAGTAGATAGGTTGAGTCAGCTTCCTCCATACTAATTATGAGGAATACAGATAATAGTAGGTTAAATGGAAATTTCCAATCTTTAATGGTTTATAAAATACGGAAGACACCATTTTATCCCCATATAACCTATTATAAGAAACATACTTGAATTTCAGAGTGAAAAATAGAGGACATACGAACCTGTGTCAAACACTTACTTCGGGGAGATGAATAGCGTTACAGAAACAGAAGAAAAAATTATCATTCATAGTCCACTACTCTTGATTGGTATTAAATTAGAGATTAATCAAGCGATGTACATATCCGAGTTTTGCCCACCTGGCTACTGACCTTGACTGACATTCAATTGAATAGAGAAATGAATAACTAGTACACAGAACTAATTCATTTCCATTTAAGTCAAGCAATTAGAATACAATAACAGTCAACACTGCACCAACACATGCATTAATGAAATTATTGCATATAAGTGGTGCACATCGGAAAGTAACGAACTTAGTCGCTTGATAACTGACCTAAGCATGAACTCACTCAAGCATAAGGAGATCAATTCAATAAAATTTCGAATTGATTCATTATAAAGTAAACTATACTTCGAATAAACCGGTGTAGCAACTGATTAAATGTTTTTACTACTTCCCCAAACCCACCACCTTTTTCTAAACTATTAAGCTTTAACAACCAAATAGTTCAGGAGTATTTGTATAATGAAATATGTACCATGCTTTTTGGTACCGCATTAGGACTAATAATGGCAACCTAACTCAAACAATCTCATGTTCATTATGTTTATCACTCAGAAGGCAGAAAAATACCGAATGATCCTTTGCATGAAATACTGTCCTCCAAAAAATTCAATATAAGGGGGGGGGGGGGCAAAGTTGAACAGACTCCTATGGGGATCTGATAAAATAGAATTCTCTTAATTCGATTGCAATTAAGTCTGATATAACACATTGTCACTTATTGAACATGGATAAAAGTAAAAAAACTGTAATCGAAATCGTGTGGCTACTAAATATTTGAATTAATGAGGTAGAGTCCGGTTAATCATATGACACATTTATAGATGGGAGAAATGGAATATTCATAACTAGCGTAATATACTGACCACGAAAAGCGACCATAGTCATCAGCATATATTCACCACGTCCCATTTCATGAATTCGAATTTACAATTTCATAATTGTTTGAGTTGATAGACAATAACATATCATCTTCAAGACAATTTATATGAACAAGAAAAACAATGGAGGGGCAAAGAGGTATTTGTGGATAGATATAAACAAAAAAGATCATTCTGGGTAGGGTTTAAAGCAGTAAGTAAATTAAGAACAAATAATGAACTAATAAAAACTGCTATCGCAAAACAGCGGAGATAATAAAACTGTCAAGCACAATTACTTTAAAAATAGTTAGAGTAGATAACTAAGGCGAAATAAGAAAACAGAGTCCAACGCTCAATTAAGATTTATTCTTGCAATAAAGGAAGCAAATAACAAAGAGTAAGTATAAAATAATTATTCATAGGCTATTAGTTTCAAGAAAGTATGACAAAATATACCTACAATAAAATAGACAAGTAAAAAATAAGAGGAATTATGACAATCTAGTAAGTAGCAAATATGTAAAAAGAAATAATTACCCATGGAAACGGACTCAAGACACAGAACCTAATGCGTGGAAAAGACAATAATTGAGGAAAGATACTTAACAGATAACCATACTTCAAAGCCAATACAAATAAAATAGTATCATGTTTAACATTCCACAAGGATTAAAAGGATATGAAGATAATTATTATATATAGTAATATATAATAAATTAAAATTTTTATAACTGTAGAGTTGATTTGTTTTCCACCAATGTTGTCATAAAACAAATAGATTAATTATTCTTAAAGCTGGTACGTTAAAAAGGTAATGGGAATCAAAATAAAAATGGAAATTGATAAATCTCCATTTTTTCAGTTATATATGTAATATAACGTTCTAGCACAAGCGAGAATGATCAAATCCAGAATAAGTTAATTAATGCTACTGCATATAATAAAAATTTATAATAAATATATAAAGATATGCTTACACTAAATATTGTATACGTAATTAGAAATCTTAGATTTTAATTGTTTAAATGTCCTAAACCTCAAAATAAACTCAGCAATCCAATCAAGATTTCTTCAAATATGTACAAACACAAAACACGCTATTCATAATCAGACACTTGCAAATGGATTGACGGTTGGTGAATATAAATCATTTAGCTTTCAACCATAATAGTGATAATACTACCAAATTTTAAACGTATTAACTATTTCAGATACTTGCCAATAAAAGTAAAAATAAATTATGCCAAAATAAATTAAAACACTCTATCTCTTTAAACTAACTTACAGAGCAATCATGTTGAATGAAATTGTGTCTTTATGAAAATAAAAATTAATAAATATAAATTTCGTTAATGAAACTAAAAGTATATTTGCTTTAAAATTATTGTTTTAATTTATTGCGTCCGTTTATTTTCGACTTTGTTTGAAGTCGCGCTTATCTCAGGTCACTTTCGCTTCCATTATCCGTAGGCTATCATTATGAAGCGGGGCAATGGTTATCATGATGACGGTCCGCCAAGAAAACTATTGCGCAACGATGATCCAAGCAAACTTCTAAGAGTTCTTATTCCGACTCGTGCAGCTGGTCCCATAATCGGAAAGGGTGGTGATACGATCAAGGACCTGCGATCTCAGGTGCCTTATCTTTATATACACTTTTAAGCGTCATTAAGCAATTCACATTATATTGTGAGCCATACTAAAGGGTCATTTTGTTTTCTATCTATTTTATGCCCTCATCTGTCACCAATTGTCGAACGTGTCCAATTGTCACCTGGTTGATGATTTCCCATCTTTCACGAATTCCATCGGTCACTCCATTCGTCACGCGTGTATTTTCCCTTATGTGGTATCCACATGCTATTAAAATTTTAAATTAAAATTCTCGTTTACATGTGTTACTACAGTATTCAGTTCGGCTTCACATACCTGATAGCAGAGGTCCAGAACGGTACAGTACACACAACTGAGACTATTTTGATTTATTTTTCAGATATCCTTATGTTATTGTTTTCTTTGCAGAGTTTTCAATCTCGAGGGCGAAAGGGTGAACATTTGTGGATGTCTTCGTGAACTTCAACATGTTTTTCTGGTAAGTCCAAAATATAACGCAACTATCCTTTTTAGGATGTTCTTAGCGCAAAGAATGCCGATCCACGCCTTTTGGAGGGTAGAAAGGATGACGATGGGAATGATCTCGATCCTTCAAGGTTGCTCGATCTTCGCATTCTTGTCCATCACAGTCAAGTCGGTTCTGTAATTGGTAAGAGCGGTGATAAAGTTAAGGAACTTCGTGAGAGGCATCGAATGCAAATTATCAAAATATATCAAGAGTTTGCGCCTCTTTCAACCGATCGGGTCTTGCAGTTGATTGGTGAACCAGAAAATGTATTCACATGTGTGGAAGACATCATGGAAACGCTCGAAGTTAGTTATCTTCCATTGCTATGAATTACTCTTGTTTATTTATTAGATTCTAAGGTGACTTTATTTCTATTGTAATTAGTTTTATAAGTATGTCCGGAACTCAGATTTTCTATCCATGTTCAATTTGAAAGTCATATTACATTAAGCGATTTTTTTCAAATAAAAACATATACAAGTCTTATAAATTGTCGTGAATTTTTATGCTCTCGTTTGCTATATATGCCTCAAAGTCCATGGTTTATCAGGTCTTTGACTGTACCTTTTAATGTCTGAAAATCTTGTTAATTTTACCCTCATTAAATTCTCGTTATTATGACACTGCTATTTTTTGGGAAATATCAAAAATGCTCATTCTGTTCATCTCTTGCTATAGGAAACACCACCAAAAGGTCCACGCAGTGATTATGATGCCAACAACTACAACGTGGATAAATTGCCGCCGCCACCTCCATCGTCTTATGATCGATATGGTCCACCCCCGCCGATGCCACCTCACCATGGTTATCCTCCTTACGACGCTCCCCCTCCGGGTCCCTACAGCCCTCCACCCTACGGTCGTGGAGGCAGCAGACACGGTCCTCCACCGGCGCCTGTTCCTCCTCCGTCTGGACATTTACCGCCTTACGGATACGATGATGCTCCACCTCCAGCTCCCAATTACTACGATCGTGGCTACTCAAGACGTGGACCACCACCTCATAGCAGCGGCTACAGACGTAGGTTCCCTCATTTTATTACCATTTTATAAAGTTACTGTGTCTTAACCTTTTTCTCTGTTTTAGGTTAAGGAGTGCATTTGGTGAGTGAAAGGACGACTCAGTTTCGTTGCTTAAGTCGATTTTTTTCGTCCTCACCGTGTAGTATCATGTCCATGTTATAATCTTTTATAATAATCACGAAATATATTCACGGTCGTGTTCAAGCTATCCCCGTTTTTTGGGATTGAGTTCGTTTGAGGTTGTATGCGTTTGGGTTGGTTTCATTTTAAATATCGTAAGCATTGCCAGTTTAGTCTGCTACAAGATGAAAGAGATTGAGTTATTGATTTTAGGATCCTGTAGTGATAGGGATTCGTTTTAAAGAGGTGTATCTAAATGCTTTACTTAAATATTAGTTGACTACTAAGGCAGTATTCGTAAAACGGAATTAATTTTTCTTGAATGTCGGGTTGTCAATATGTTTGGAAGTACGAATTTTCTGCATATTGGTTTGGCTATCAGACGCAGGGGGTTTTTATAGTTGACTAAAGTTGGAAATTGTTCTGCTCAGTTGGAATTGGCTTAACAATTGGGCTTTAGTTCCGTGAATGGCGAGTTAACATGACCTCCAATTTTGACAACGAATCGTTGGTGAATCATATATATAGATAGATAAATGTATTCTAAAATCAAAGTCATTTTGCTAAAGAAACAAATCAGATATGGCACATAGGAATGCATAATTATGTGCTCCTTTTTCGTTTATTGGTCAAAATCGGTCTGTCTCTAATAATTTGTTAATGATATGCATGCCGTGACTTTGGAATGGCTTCCAAACTCCTCCGCCATTACATAAGTGAATTAATTCAGCTTAAACCTTTCACTTCGCCCTTAACAACCAATAAATTGCAAAATTTTTGTCTTGTTCCCATTTCGAAGCCATTTTACCCTTAATCAGTCTGAAGGGATTGCAATGGAAGGAGGCGAGGTCTGGTGAATGTACTGAAGCTTTCTAATTTATTTTTTTATTTTTGCGGGGTTATTCCTACTTCGTTGTGCTATGTAGCTTTTGTCGCTTTAAAGAAATTCCATTTTTATTCGAAGCTAACGTGGACGTTTTTGCGCCAAATTTCTTTGTTCCTCCCATATGTTGGCAACAGTGAACTTCGGCTGAAGCTCTTCCTCCTGGCTCACACATTGTATGTACAATGAAAAAGTTAGTGAAGGGTCAATCATCACTTGGCTTACGGGATTGAAGGGGTATTTGATTTGGAGATTGCCACAATTGTTTTTTCCCTTTAATTCTGCTGTTATCCTTCCTTTTGTTGTTCCTCAAGCAATAACTTCTAATAAAGCGCCATCTTGGAAAGCGTTCATTAAGAATGCTTCATAGTATATATTGATAAAATCGATAGATATTGAATTTCAGTGTCCTAAGCAATTCACTTCTCTTATCCACCAACTTTGTTGTCTTGACAAGAAGGGAGTGCGTGTTTCTCCTTACCCCAATCTGCCATCCCATTCACTTTCCCCTATGTCCTTCAAGTGGAGATTTCGTTCATAATTCTTCCTTTGTTAAGTTAAAATCTGCTTTAACCAAAGAATCCATCCTGATCTATCGTCAAAATTCGCACGTCATCGTTATTCTGTCGCATAATTTAATTTTCTACAATCAAATCTGTGTCTTTTAAACTAAAATTTTCATCGGCAGGCCAAGTAGGTGCTTGACCACAAATTTGAGTGATGGTTCTAGTAGTAGCCCTGGTCATAGGACAGCACCATCAAGTGCCTATCTGACGCTCTCTGCCCGCCTTAAGGTTGGACATTTTCACCTTCAATATTGAAGTGAAACCTATTAGCCATAAATAGCGTTGAACAATCTGTTCACAAGGGAACTTTTCGGAGTGTCTAGTCTCGGATTGAATTCAATCATCTATTTGCGAAATGAGTGATCTCTTAATATTAAAGCTATGAAGTTTCTATCTATGGAGAGGTAATTTATAATTTTTTTATTTCTCTCCAAGTTATTAAGATGTAGTAATTTAGTGACAAAATTGAGAAACTACAACTCTTGTTAATTTGATCTGCACGCAAACTGAACTCAAACATCTGTTTGTAAGATTGTTTCTTTTTGGGTGTACCAAATTTCATTCCCATTTTTCGAGTTGAACTTTTATAATGTACCTTTGCATATCTTTGCAAACGGTAAGGTGACTGGGTGGAAATGCGAAAACACTGGAATATTTTAACTTAGCCCAAAATTAAAACGAAATAATCAGTCATGCTTTATTTGGAGTCAGTGACTTGAGATTGAATTTCTCTCGATGGTAACATGCAATCATTTAACATTCCTGCTACCCCAGTACTACTTCCATCTACGTAAGATGTTTAATAACAAAATTCGTGCTTAGTCCTAGTGCCCTAGAATTATCCTGTCCTCTTTCAAAATAAGCTCCTTCGGTACTAGACTCGTAGCAGAAGGCGCTATTGCCGTTTGAAACATGCTCAATACGCGTCTATAGCCCTCGCCTAATACAACCGAAACTCAACACATCTGCGGCATCAGTCTGCTGTGGGACACGTGAGTGTGCACGTATTGGATGCATTTGTCAAAAAAATATTCGGGTGTTAATGGGGTTACGCCATCCACAAATATACTGTCGGTGAGGCATTTTCAGATCTTTGAAATATGCTAAAGTCCTCGATTAATGACCCCTGGTTTATGTTTTTACATCTCCTAACAGATAAAAGATAATTTCCGTTAATACACCACTTGTAATTCAATCCTCCACATGCCAATTTTTTTGTCTTTGTTTTTATAATTTACAACTTGGCTTCCTTGTTTCCATTATATCAATCACAATCTAATGGTAATTGCTTAACTTCTTTTATTTGGTGAATAGTTCAGAGAATATGAATTTCTTTCGAGAACGACAAATGTTTCAGGTAAGTTAACTAATAAAAAATCTTCACGGTAAAATAAATAGATTGCTCTTTTAAATATTGAGTGAATCGATTTTTTTGTTCCCTTATATTTGTAAATGTATCAGTAGTTTGGACTATCTATTTTGATTCTTTATTGCGTACACTAAAGTTTGTCTACTATTTAGCCTTATTTTAACCCACTCATTACCGTTAAATTACTCTCACTTTCGTAAGTAAATCTTGAGAGAGATCGAATTTCACTGGGATTTAAGATTTAAATAGTTTTTAGATAAATTCCCTCGAACTGTTGCAACAAAGTATATTCAACTAATTCACAAAGAATAAGTAGGAATATCACTTTTCTTTGAAATTGTGGGACACGTCATCGCATGCCTGCACACCAGGATTGGGAGGTGCGACCGTACAAACAGTGACCAATCATTAACCTCTGTTTGAGTCTCTTCATTTATGTCTGCTTTCTATCAATGTTTCTGGATAGGCAACAAGTTCGATTACTTTATGGTAAGAAATTCAAAATCCTTATTACTTTGGATAGTGCGTCTCCAGGTTATCGATGATGAACATCTTGGGTAATTATGACCAATAATCTCCAATTATTTGCAGACTGGTTATTGGCACTTCTTAAAAGTCGGAATCCAATTACGCAATTGCAAGTGTATTGAA